GTAGCTTCTCTTTAAAGTTTGTCAGTGAGACAAAGACAAAGAAATAAAATAAAATAAAATAAAATAAAAAGGGACTCGTGACTTACTGCTGTAATAAACTGCTGGGATAGTTATTAACGTGATGACGACAACCGCCCCTACCAATCCACATATCAGCTTGTTGTGACCCTGGGAAGATGACAGACAGAAAAAAAAAAAGTGCGGACACTTTCTGAGGTTTGCACAACTTGTACATTTTGACGCTGCAGTTTTTTTCTTTTATAGCCTCTCCTTGCATCAAACTGACTTTAGGAGACTGCTTTACTCCTCTAAAAAAATGTTTCCAAAGTTGACACTGATAATAAACTGATTACTAACCATGGTGATGATGATGTCGCCGCTTAGCTCAGTGTAAAAATGATCCTCAGGAGTCTGTGCGCTGGAAACGCTGCCTGGTGAACATCTTCTCTGTTGCTTTAAACAACATAAAGCTGAGCTACGTCCTGCTTAGTCAGGACTTCCTACTGAGCCCAGTTGCAGCTACAACACTCTCACCCACCTCCTCAAAGTCCGCAGCACAAGTTTCCAGGRGCGCACAACTTATTATACCGCTGGAATTAGGAAGTGGCTTCTTCTTTTCTTTTCTTTCCTTTTTTGTTTTTTTACACAGAGCTAGGGCGCAACTCAGTCAGGCTGAGCTTATACAACAGGAAAATCCAGCTTAAACCTATTGTTGAAGATACGAGCTGAACGAAGTGACACTTTTAATTGTATGGCGTCAATTCTTCAGATTTTCCTGAGGTGACGCTCTGTGGCGCTGTTATAAGTAACTAATATCTTACCTGCAGCACAACTGTTAAAACATTTTGTTTGAAATATCAGGCTCAGTGTAGACTATTAAAACATGTCAATAAATAAAAAAGCATGAAGTCAAAACAGCACAAGCGTCTACTAAAATGCCCCTGCCGCACATCACCGGATTTGATAGACCAATCGCCTAAATGTTCTCTTAGCTGGGACATTTCTAGACTGCAGACTCTGGTTCCTAAACGACTGCAGGCAGCACCTGAAAACAGATTTCTGGTTTAATTTGTGAACAAAGAAAATCGATAAATGCTTTGTTCGCTTTGCTGATTTCGATTGGGGAGATGAGGCAATGTTTTGTAAGACCACAGCCAATGTTTGCTCTCCTTTAGCAAAAATTTCATAATGGCTTTTAAATCTCCATATCACTGAATTAAAATTATACAGGAAGTTATTTACGCTGAAGCTCATTTAGCATAAAAGGGCTGCAGCATTCTCTAGTGGTGGATGAAGGATACTGGAAGTCAAGTCAAGAATTTTAAGAAGCTGTGAAGAATGTAATTTATTTTCAAAAGCAGAGAGGTCTTTTTTAAACATTGTAAACTACTGTGCTAATACAGAAAAGCACATTAATATACAATGACACAACAAAAACTGAGTACATATGATACCAAATTAGAAAACAGTGAATGTGCTAGCATTTTTTTCATAAAACATAAACACTGAATTTCCCCCCAGAAGTTTTAGATTAAATGCAGCCCAGGTAACCTTACAAAATGACATTTTATACCCATTTTCACTCATAAAATGCATATACAACCCATCAGTTATTCTATAGAAAGATATGGGCAAAGAGGTTATAAAGTCTGACTCTTAAAATAGCAGCACCCACTGTTTGCACAAAACCATCTCACAAATGGATAAAGAGAGCAACCAGAGTCCACAGCACCTGTCTGCATGCAAGATAATTGACAAGTGGTCTCTGGGGGGGGTCTATCACAGGCTCACTCACTCCCTTCTCCTGAGACAACGATGATTAGAGGAAAATATTCTGAATCTTGATATTTTTATCCATGTTTTAAAGTTTACATTCATAGAAATTACGACATTATCTCAAATCAGTGTCATACATTCAAAACTGACAGTGTTTGAAACATTTAAAAAGCAAGTGATAATGTTGAAAAAAAGAGAGGAGAGAAATAAACAATTAAAACTTAAATCCATCACCAGTGATGTTAGCAGKGAAAGGAAGCTTTGCATTTAGTGATGGTAAATAATGTGCAAGGTGCAGAACCAGAGGAAAAATGTGCTTTTATCTTTTTTTTTTTGCATTTCAATCTGCTTCTTCATCGTCGGAGCTTTGGGCCATCTGGTAAGCGTACTCGGCGTAGTCGAATGAGGAAAACCTGACGGGGAGGTCACTCCACTTGGTGCAGTTGCTGATCTTTTTCCCTCTAATATCGACCACAAAGTTTTTCACGTGGAGGCAGGGACACTCAATCCCACGGTACATCATCATCGAACCCCATGTCTGCAACAGGAATGAGGAAGATGAGAAAAAAAAAACATGAAGCAAAAAGCAAGTGATGATTCAGCAGCTACAACGAAGCCCTGATTTTTGCAAGGGTTACTTTCTTGAGAGTACCCACGATTCGTGCAAAAATGCAAATATTGGATGCGGTCCAGAACAGGCCTACAGCGTGTCGTAATGCGACAAGAACCAAACAAAAACAGCTAGCCGCTACACACCATGCAGTACTGTTTGCAGGCAGAAATGCTGCACTCTGGGCAGAGCATGGGCATGCATACTGTACTTTTTTTATTTACTTATTTTTATGGAGCTGAATTTACATTAATGCTTATGTTACAAAACTAGTAAAGTATATTGTTCTTAATAATTTTGCTTGAAAAGCTAAAGAAAAAAAATAAACTGACATTCCTTGCTGTAGTGTACAATATTTCCAGTTTCTGATATATTATAGGAATTACTTCAAACTATTARGWTCCATGAAAAAATCTSCAARTTACAAAACACAACTTTGCAGGGCKTCAYTRCATACAATGAATATTTGCCAGTTTGAATTCTCACTTGAGCCTAGGTGGCAACCAGAAAATATTAAAGAGATTATAACATCATCAAAAACTACATCTAATAATAGTAACAGTTGCACATCTTGTCTTGTWTTTAAAAAGGCCAGAATGGTGCAACTATCAAATTAAAGCAAGAAAAAAACCATAAAATAAATATTTACCTGGCCACAGATTTTGCAAGCTATGACACCATTGGTCTCATAGTCCAAAAGTCGCTCCTGAAGAGCAGCATTTTCTCTGAGATTGAAAAGTTCCCTGTATAAAACATATCAAATTAAATGCTGCAAATGAAAAAACAAAAATCATTAAAAAATAAACAAACAGGCAGAACTAATTATTTATACTTGAACTGTGGGGTAACGTTGACTCTGTGCATGTTTTCGATGATGTTGATGTCTTCACCGCTGCAGATGTTCTCGCTGCAGCCTCGACAGCTGAACTTGACAGCAGATGGACTCTCATCCTTGATGGCCTTCTGCTTCTGCTTCACCTGTCTCACTCTCTCCTCCATTATAGCCTGAATCTGAAACTCGTCGATCTATTAAAATAATAATAATAAAATAATAATTATAAATAACTTAAAAAAAAAGTCCGATGAGTTTTGTTAGCGTCAGAAAAATACCTCATTCAAATACAACCTGTACCTTTTCATTATATTTATCTGAAGAATAGGTTTTGATTTTCTTGATGGCTTTATTCATCATATCCTCCCGGTGCTCATTGACACACTCTTTTTCAGCCACACCAGAGTTCTTTACATCTACTACAGTGTAAGAGCTGTCCTCAGCTCTTCCTCTGCCTTGAGCCTGCAGAAAGTAATGAATGGTGTTAATAGTGAGCATTGCCCTGCTTCAACCTGATTCAGAATATAATCATGATTATCTTCTTCAGATAGGATTTAGAGTTATTAAACATTTCTAAAACCTAACATCCTATGCACGATCATGTAACTAAGTCAAGGGATAAGTTAATACACGCTAATATTTAAGACTTTAAAGGATAATGACTTTGGGTATATCTATGCTTTAAAAAAACAGCAACAACAAACCAAGACCCACATATTAAGGCAACTTGTGCACGTAACTTTTGCACCCCTCCACACTATACTGGATGTTTTTAAACCGGAGATGTGCTGTTGCATTGGTACCTCTCATACACAAAATGAGGGTTTGGTGAAAGGGAAACAAGAAACTTTAGAGTGCCAGTGACATCACCTATTTTGTAATAAGCATGAATGCATTTTTGGAAATATAACATTATTAACACACTACAATAAATACATAAATTAAAAAATAAATAAATCACATCCGTGAGTTGAGCAGTTGTTAAACAGTAACAGGAAGTGATGACAAAGGGGAATATCTGCATGTAAGCGGAGCAGTACTACCATGACTGAGAATACAGACTATTTTCTTTAGATTATTTTGAGTCATCAGTGAGGTGAAGAGTCAGAGTTCAAATAATATTGTTTCAATAAAAAAATGACCACGGAGTTCCTTTTCCTAAATAGTTCCCTTTTGATGTCACGTCCTGTTACATTTTGGCTGAGACAAGTTCAAAAGAAACTAGGTCATTTATGTGACAAAATGGGTAAAATCATATTATGCCTAATTTTTCAATATAAAGCTATTTTCTTTGATTTTTCATATACGAAGGGTATGAACATCACAGGCRCTTAAGAAAGCTTTTCTAAAACGATGATGTACCAACCTAGTTAATACATGTCCACAATCACTTTGTGGTCTAGAAACCAAAACAACTGAGGTTAATTTTATATATTTTTTCCTTCTGTGGGTAACCCTTGTTATACTTTGCATTTTTTACAAGCAGTATTTTAGGTAAAATACAGTTGGGTGAAGGTTGATTTTTCGCATATTAAATGTTACAGGACAACACATTGAAGAAGAAAGGGGCATGGATGTCACCATACGACTGACCTGAATCATGGCGATCTCATTGGTTGAAAGACCATATCGGATGACAAAATTGCAGGCGGGTATGTCCAAACCTTCCTCTGCCACCGTGGTAGCAACCAGCAAGTTGACTTCACCGGTTTTGAATTTTTTCAGTACATCCTTTTGCTCAGCCTGATGAACACAAACATAAATTCCACTGAGAGTGCTTCAGTCACAACAATTAATCAAGCATGGTTTGTGTAAGGTGCACTTACAGCAGTCATTGGTTTAACATCACTCTGGTCTCCTCCTCCAATAACATGTGATGGTTTCACTCCGATGTCGGCAAACTTGGGGTTTTCCTGAATCCACTGGCTTAGAGTAATGGCGCTGTGACGTGTTTTAGTGAAAATGATCCCTCTGGCCTCCTGCCTAGTGCTGAACTCCTGCAAAATCTTACTTTTTAATTTTGCCAGGCTGTCGTTCTCATACTCTGGAATCTTTGCAAGCTTCTCCAGCATCTCTTTTTTGTCTGTGGGATATAAATTCAAGTAAGCAAAGGCAAATCTTTTAACGGTAAAGTCTGCTTTTAAGCAAGTTAGCTAAGGTTAGAAAATGAGCAAAATAAAGGGGATATTTGCAGGTGAGCTGGTGACCACCAAAAGGCTAAAATTCACCTTTAAACTGCTTGAAGAGGAATCTCTCTGTATCGGTGATCTGTATGTTCTGCTCCTCATCTACTGATGACTTCTTCTTTATTTGCTCCTCATGGAATTTGTTCAGACACCTGAGGGCGTCGCACATCCGAATGGTGTTGCTGAGAATCAAGCCCTCGTTGTACCGCCGGAGGTACTCAGCGCAAACTCGCTCTATCTGATTCTCCTCTTTGGCAGCTAAAACAAAATAATGAAGCAGAAAAGAGTAAAACACAAAAAAGGGCAAGTCTAACAAAAGGTGAGTACTAAGATGTAACAAGGAAATTGTATGTTAGGCAAATAAAAACCAAAGCTACAAATAAATTAATATATGGTAACAGGGAGGAAAACATCTACACCCTGCCTCCAAATTTTTTTACAAAACGACAATGCCATTGTTTTTGCATTGATAAATCAGTGCATAAACTAATAAACAGTACATTTTTACTTCTCACCTTGTCTCTCTTTTTGAACAGCCCACTGTTCATAATTCTGAGAGCCCAGGTCACAGGTGGGGCTGAACTTGGCATGATCATGAATGGCATTCATGATTGTCTTTATCACATCACCAAATGGATCCTAAAAAGGAATATTTAATTAAAAAATACACCTAAAATCTAAATTTCTAAATAAATCGGTTGTTAAAATGATTATAAAACAGATAGAGAGAAAATTTTACCTCTTTTCTGTCTTCAGCAGTCATGGTTATTTTTCTTAGCTTCTTCTGGTCCTCTCCAAGGCTCCTCGTCATGATATTTGAAGCATCTAGGTTCGCACAAATCTATGACAAAGAGTTACACATTTGATGAGTAAAAATTTGTGCACAGCATTACTACTCAATTTTCGCAGTCCCAATCTAAAAATATAATTTTAATTCTCTGTAAATGTTGGAAACTTCTCATAATGTCCTCCTCATAATGTAGGCTGACATTTTTTATGTACATACATCAGTTACAGACAGAAAACTGAGAACAGTATTTACTCTCATTATGTGCTCCACAGCTTTGTCCATTGTGTTGGCTTTTCCAACACCAGGCGAGGCRGTCAGGCCCAGGATCTGAGGGAGTGGAATGGGATCCTTCTCCTCCTTCTTGCGCCTTATGTTCTTGTGCTTTTGCTTCAAATATCGCATCATTATGTGGTTGTAGACACCTCCTTTCTGAGTGTGGTGACATTCATCTATTATGATCAACGTGAGATCTATAAAAACAAATAAAAAAATGATGGCAAAACCAAATAAACACGCTTGTGCAAAGATTATTAGAAGCAAAAAACAATATTAAACACAATCAAACAGTCAGTGAGTGGTTGGTGTTTCAGACAATTCACATTTACTAACTTCTCACTGACAAAAAAGGCTGGAGGGAGAAATGGGAAAAGACAATTTCCTCAACCAAGCATCGCTAATTTTATCATGTTGATTCATTGGTCTTAAACAAAACAGGGTAATTTCCGTGAAAGATCAGACGAGATATCGTCCCACACAAGTCAGCACTTCTCTCAGAACATTTGACGCAGCAGTTTGAACCACATAAAAACATCTGTAGAACTTTCTGCTGAAATAGTTCAAACTTATAAAAGTGGAATTCTGCGAAAAAGTTATACACAATCATTATTTTACCTGTTGTACATACCTCATATATATATAT